TAAGCCTTAACGGCATTAAGTATAAAAAAGGCATTACTATTGCTTTTGAATATAACGTTGATCCCAGTTTTGGACAAATTGAAAATATTTTTATTCAGCGTAAATTACAAACAAAAATAAAGAATTGCAATTTTATACTTGTAGTTAGAGTTTTCGAAATTTGTCATTTTGATGAATTTTTACAATCGTATGCGGTTAAAGAAACTGATACTTTCAAGATTATACCATTTCAGTGCGTTAAAAACGATGATACTTTTATTTCTGTAAAAGTGCCCAATGGCAATTTATACATACCATCCCATTAATAAAATTATGATATTATGGTTAGTATGTATATATCTTATATAGTTTATATACATGTATTGTATGAATAAATGTTTGAATCAAATATACTTGTAAATTAATTTTTATCTATAATATTTTATAATTATATTTCAGGAAATTATTATACTACTTTTATTATATTATAATTATTATACTATAATGTATAATAAGTAAAATTAACTACAGTCTTATTTGACAGAACAATATAACTTGGACGTAATAAATATGTAAAATAGTCAATTGTACTATTAAAAATAGTCATACCTTTTATTATACTATAATGTATAATAAGTAAAATTAACTACAGTTTTATTTGACAGAACAATATAACTTGGACGTAATAAATATGTGAAATAGTCAATTGTACTATTAAAAATAGTCATATCTTGAAACTATCATACAGTTTTGATCGTAAATACTACTATTTAATTTGTTGATTTAACTATCTGTATACATAGTATATTAAATAATGTTGCGTTGACTATGTCGAAATAGTAATTCGGTGACTACTTTATATAGTAAAAGTATCAATTACTTTTTACCACTTATCACATTGTTACTTTTACTATAACTTTCCGTAGTCACTTTAAACCACTATTTTTTATAGTCAATATCACCATTTTTTTCTCTCCGTGTGCAATCACATTGCCTCTGATCTTCAAATTGTTGTACTTTATTCTTCATGGCATTAAAAATATTATTTAATATTCCAGGAGTGAAGTCGATACCTTCAAGACTCTGTCTTAGAGAACGTGTTGATGGTAAGGGAATTTTTTGTTTAATGAGCTCATTATAGCCGCTATTAGTACAAGAAAATTTTATTTGAAGAGCTTTTTTAATGGTTTCTTTAGACCAAGAGGACACACATCTTTTGCTAGATTGTGATTGTAATTGTAGCCACTGAATTTGATCGTTGTTGAAACCTGTTTTCAGTAATTCTTTTGATTGTAATACACTTTTTTCAATTCGTATTCTTTTCATACTAAGTCTTTTTATACGCTTCACAAGAGTCTTATTTGATCTGTCAACTGTACAAAGAATTTTATTGGCTTTCTCTAATCTTTCTTGTAAGTTATTTACTTCTGCGTCTTTATTTTGAAGTTTTTGTTTCAATGTTTTTATTTCTGCAAGAGCATACTCCAATGATGATATATTGGATGTTGGAGATGTTACTGCAAATATATATGTTTATGCTATCATTGATATTTACATTATTCTCAGATAATGATAACAAATATCAAAAGTTATATTGACTAATTAGATAATACAGAATTGTCTATAAATATTACACATAAATTACTATTACCTTCAGGATGCTCATTGAGATGCTCAGGTAAAATTGGCACTAATGACTCATCAATATTTGCAACTGTTATATTGGATGTTGGGGATGTTGCTACAAATATATATGTTTATGCTATCATTGCAGATATTTACATTATTTTCAGATGATGATAATAAGTATCAAAAGTTATATTGATTAATTAGATAATACAGAATTGTCTATAAATAATACACATAAATTACTATTACCTTCAGGATGCTTAACAGGATATTCAAGTAAAATTGTTGGCACTGCCTGTATCTTCAATTTTTTTTTCCCATCCTGTCGAGTTTTCTCCCACATTTCTTTACTGAAATGGACCTACAAATATAAGCAAATAAAAAACATATTTTGTAATTATTATATATTTAATATATTTCATATAATTATATGTATACTTACTTCACAAACAGCTGAATATTGTTTGGGTTCCCAGTTTTTTCTCCCAATATTTTCTAACCATATTCTTTTCATTGTTGGGTCCACTGGAAAGCGCTTCATATAATATCCTTCTTCGCTCCTATTGTTGCATCCCAAAATACAACAACCCGTCATTTTCTACATTATTTATTATGAAGGAATTATTATAATACTAGCTTTATTTTCTTACAGATAATTGTTTCTCCTTTAATAACATTCAATTATGTACAATTTATTAATACTATATTTAACATGACAGAATATTTAACAATAATAAAACATTAATATAAGATACTTACTGTTTTATATACGTGCCGATGAACGGTATCAATTGTACTTGTTGACACTTGATGACACTTAAGAGTCACGTGAGTCACGTGAGATGTCCACCATTTTCTATCCAACTAGAAAGCTGGCCAGTCTCTTATTATAGTGTCTCTAGGCCCGCGCGCCGAGCCCGCGCGCGCCCGCCACGTGACAAGAGTGGTGCGCGGCGCCGCCGCTAGGCGCCGCAGGCGCCACGACAAATCTCGTAATGAAGAAACACCCACGCCCGCTATATCTATGGCTCCGTGGGAGGTCCTCAGCCTGTTCCTTGCTTCAGGATAATGCGAGCTTACTTTGTAGGCCGTTATCCTGAAGCATTTTGAGATCCTTGTACCCTTGACAGAGCGAGCTCGGCTCTTTGCGATCGGAAGGAAGCGGGAGTCCCGGCCTTTCGATCCAAAGCTTCCGCTAGGGCCTCTGCCTCCTTTCCTCTGCCCACCCGGGCGAAATTCGCGCCGCCAGTGAAGGACGACCACCACCATCCCGCGGGCAAGAAAA